CTTTCCAAAATTCTACTGAGAGGTTTGGTTTTAAGAACACGATTAGATTGAACACTAAAAGGTAAGGAAATAATGTAAACCTTGCTTTCTAGCTTGTTGCTGTTAGTGCTACCTGTGATACGTTGAAAGTTACTTTACATTTAACAAAAGCTAAACTATATTCAGCCTGTCATGGAAAATGAATAGTCGTGTAATTTTATGGAGAAAAAGAAAAAACAGTTCGATTTTATCTTTACTTCCACTGTTTAGTTGCTTTGTTGTTTACTGGTCAATATGTTGCAGAGTGCTCTATTGTCATGCAAACAACGTTCTGTTTCTGGAAATGTTCTTCATAGTTCTGTTCATTAGTCATTCAATGTTTTCTTTTTGTTTTTTCATCTTGGTATTCTGAGTGGGGGTTTTCTTTTAAAGAATAATTTCGTAATACTATGAAATTGTTTCTAATATAGAAGATAGGTCTGCGCACATATTTTCATCCCAGTTTTCTTCCTACATTCTTTAGTATGTCTCTCTTTCTCTAACGAAATTGCATTTTCTTCTTCTTCTTCCTTTTTTTTTTTCTGTGATAAGAGCATTTGTAATTTTGAAGAAGTAGCCTTGTCTATATTTGACAAATGAAAGAGCATTTATATTTTTCTTTTTCATGTATATTTTGTGGCCTTAGTTTTTTTTTTTTTGATGCTTTTGTCTTCTTTCATTTTGCCTCATCGAAAGTGTGTTTTGTTATCAAGATTTCTTTTCCATGTATCAATTTACTTTAATGGAAAAGTAGAGGTTGATTTTGCCTTAATTTTCTTAATGCTTGTAGTTGGTAGTTTTTTGGCTGAAGATTTCTGCAATTATTCTGTTTTATTCTAGTTAATTCAAGAGTTTTTTTCTCCTCTATTTTCTTCCTTTTCTCATTTTCTTGCAGAGTAGGTAGATTTCTCGTCTTATCCTAATAGTTTTCTTGTACATTCTTAGACTTGTTTTTTTCTTATTTCGTTAATTTTTTTATAAATACTTTATCGTTTTTGATGCCTCAAATCATCAATCACTAGGTTGAAGGCCTTGTTCTTGATCATGGTTCTAGACATCCTGATATGAAACGGAGAGCAGAGAATTGTTTTATTTTAACCAGCAATGTGTCTCTGGAATATGACAAAAGGTATTGATTTGCCTTTCTTTGATTTAGTATCAACATGGATGGATAATTATGTTTCTTGTATTGTTATATCTTGGTTTGTGTTGTTCCTGCTTTCCTAAATGCAGAATCAATGCATGTATGTATATTGCTACCCCAGCTTTATGTAATATGGCATTAATGGGATGAATTAGTCTAGTTATCCTGAATATATAATGTGGATCATATTCATTTGTAGCCATATATCATTATAATATATTGTGAACATTTAAAAATTGATGGCTTTCCTCTCAGTGAAATAAATGCTGGATTTTTCTACTCTAATGCGGAACAGAGGGAAGCAATGGTTGCTGCTGAAAGGCGTCAGGTTGACGAAAGAGTTCAGAAAATCATTGAATTGAAAAACAAGGTAAGGGTGTTAGGGTCATGCATGTTAGTTATTAAAACCGTCTGCATTTCTTAATTGTTGTCTTATATTCTCATCATATGCAGGTTTGTGCGGGTAATGACAAGAACTTTGTTGTCATAAACCAAAAAGGAATTGATCCCCCATCTTTGGATATGCTCGCAAGGGAAGGGGTAAGGCCGTATTCCTTGAAGTTATCATACTCTTTTTTTTTCCTTTATTCCCTTGATCATGACATTCCGTTTACAAGTGATGCTTAAGCCTCATCATGAAAAGACTTATTTTAGCTACCTTGTAAGACTGACAAAACTTTAAAGCCAATTCCGTTATCATAACTAATGAAAATGTTTTGTAAAAAAATCTTTGCCCATCATTCTGATCAAATCCATTAGTGTGTAGCCGAGTAAACACAATTCTATTATGTTTTCCTTACTTTTAAAGCTTAACAAGAGTCCAATGAGTATCAGAAGATGTATCTAGAAGCAATATGGTTTGAATTATAATTATGTTGTTTTTTAGCGATAACGGATTCTTACAAATTTGATTTTGAAATCTGTTTCTCAAGTGACATCCAAATATTTGGAAAAACATTCCTGCGATTTTGGATTTTCTTCAAAACTGTTAATGTGAGATAGTATCATTAGAAGCATGTTATCAACTTCTTCAACTTATCATAAATACAATGTTTTTAGTCCATCTCATAATATATTTAAACATTACTGAATTCTTTTTTTATTTTATTTGAAATGATTGAGACGTACATACAGATTTGAATGTCTGTTTTTTGTTTGGTAAGAAACAAAGTTTTTATGGAGAGAAGTGTAAGAATATACAAGGGCATACAAAAAAAAAATTAAAAAATGAACCTAGCTAAAGGGAGACCCAAAACACACCTACAAAAATGGGCTGATCCAATGATATTTGAATGTTTTTATGAGTCATATATTTTTATAATTGTATCCTTATTTTTCCTGTGTATATACTAAGTTGCTAAGAATAAAATATTGCCACGTTCTTTTCTAATACAATTCTCATTTCTTACAAGTTCTTTTTTTCTATGTAATATATGTTATTTTATTTGATGTATTACAAATGTCAGTATGGTTAATAACCATTATGATTTTTATGATTTGAGCAAGGGAGCATGAAACCTTGGTCAATTGCCATTTATTTGTCAATTTATATTCATTTGTTTCATACTTGTTATGGAGCTCCTGTAGATAATTGCCCTTCGTAGAGCCAAGAGGAGAAATATGGAAAGGTTGGTTCTGGCCTGTGGAGGAGAGGCTATAAATTCTGTTGAAAATCTTACTCCTGATTGCCTTGGATGGGCTGGACTGGTCTATGAACATGTGCTTGGGGAAGATAAATATACATTTGTGGAAAATGTGAAAAATCCTCATTCTTGTACAATCTTGATCAAGGGTACTTCATTGCAACCTCAATCTTCATTCATGTACAATCTTGTTAATCAATTATATTTCCTTTTTTCTCATTAGTATCCGTGATGGTGCAGGACCTAATGACCATACTATTGCTCAAATTAAGGATGCTGTCCGTGATGGTCTTAGAGCAGTTAAAAACACCATTGAAGATGAATCCGTTGTCATGGTAAGCTTCTTATATTTTCTGGCTACTGTCAGACGTGCAGATGAATTAATGAAACTCCTTGTATCAAGTAGAACTATTTCTCTTCTATAACTCCGAGATGTAATGGTGCATCATTTGACCAAAATATCAAGACAATGATCACGAAAGCAGCAAGCATCCTGAATGCAAGTTAAGGGAGCAAATAGATTATATCTACAGTGTATGATTGGTCTATTGCTCTCTGTAACTTTGCGTCTGGATAGAAGAACTAATATTGAGCATTTGACATACTTATTCCTACATTCGGATATTCACATTATTTCTTATTCACAAGTAAAAAAATATTAAAATTTTATTTTTCTTCTCTTCCTCCCTATTTGTTATTAGGTTATCAACAGTTATAGTCTTGCAGCTTCAATTACGATATACTGCATTACAATTTGTTTTGCTTCTTGACCCTATGAATGAAAGAGAGGAGACAAGTTTGGATGCTTATAGCCAGGAAATAGCGTCTCGTAGACCATCCTTATTACTCGAGATTTTCTTGATCTTAAGAAATGACTGGTGGAATTTTCAGGGTGCCGGATCCTTTGAAGTTGCTGCAAGACAATATCTGATAAATGAAGTGAAGAAAACAGTTCAAGGAGTAAGTCTCCTTAGAAGTATTCTTCAGTATCCTTTTGCATACTTTTCATGTACCCAATCTTATTTTGACCTTCTCAACCTTTATTACAGCGTGCTCAACTTGGCGTTGAAGCTTTTGCTGATGCCCTTCTTGTGGTTCCCAAGACACTTGCTGAAAACTCTGGTCTCGACACACAGGATGTGCTCATTGCTCTTAAGGTATAGTCCTTTAAACTCCTACTGTGCTTTGTCATATAATTCCAACGTTTCCCTTCTTTATGAGAGGCAGTTACAAGTATGCTGAACTCGTTCTTCCCATTTGAAATCAGGGGGCACATGACCGGGGCACTATTGTAGGGCTAAACCAGCATACAGGAGAACCGATTGACCCCCAAATGGAGGGTATCTTTGACAACTACTCAGTGAAACGCCAAATTATCAATTCTGGGTACGTGGCTCGATTGTCGCCCCTTTTTACATCCTCATTTAGCCTTTCTTTTTGCCGAATTTCTTGTCATGCTCTTGATCGTTAACAAATGTCTTATAGAAGTAGTCAAATTTATAACTTTCTAGTCTTCGATATTAAATCATCATAAAGTTGGGGTACTGATTTGGTTACTCATAACTTTTTGCAGGCCTGTAATTGCATCACAGTTGCTATTGGTGGACGAGGTAATTCGTGCTGGCCGCAATATGCGGAAACCTACTTAGGAAGCGTTAACATGTAATTTTTAGCCGGTTTTGATGATCTGCTAGAGTGAGTTTTGTGCTACTTTCTTGTATAAGTTGTACTGTTTTGATCTGTTGGGAAGTATTTGCTCCCATCACTGTAGAACTTTCTTTACCCTTTTTTCTCAATGAAAAATACAAAAAAAAAAAAAGTAGAGGAACCCCTTCCCTATATCTTTTATTGGAGGTGTTTATTAAATTAGGGAACGGTCTGTTTCCGTTAATTCGGATCAATTGATGGTTTGAACAAGGAAGTTTTATGCAATATCTTGGAATTATGCTTATTATTGTTGAGTTCACAACTTTTCCCTTATGTCTCTCCAGATATATTCTTTTCTACAATTTACCTGAGGTTGGAACCCAATCTTTGTGTTACATATTCAATCAGAGAATTCTCTCTTAATTCACAATAGAGAACATGTTTCATGAAATATGTTAGTGTAGTGATTTCTGGAAATTGATAATGAAAAAATTTACAATAAAAAACATAAGGTCAAATAATAATAAATTTGGAGACTAAAACAATAATAAAATCTTGAACTTCATGATTTATTGCTCATCCCTTTTTACACTCCAAGCAAGGCAAGAAGGATGGAATCCATAAATCAGAAATGGCTCCCTTCAATCTATCAATGAGGAGCCTTAATGGCAGATGGAACTCATTCCTGGTAAAGATTTTTGACAAAGAAGAATAGCTTTGAAGTTTACACTATGAAGGAGAGATGAAAGATCATTCTTATCCAAATAAAATAGAATTCCTTTGCTTATCCAGATCACAAAATCCATAAAGCCTCAACTTTCATTATGTTCTTACTAATATCAATACTTCAAGTGACAAATTCAACATAGTATCGTCTGAAAGTGCACCTGAGATTGACCCATAACAGTACTCTTCAGTTTTCTCATTGAATGATGTTGATACTTTTCCTCACGGCTTCCCATCATGTTGAAGTGCATATTCCCGCTTCATCTCTTCCAACACGGTGTCGTTGGTGCTGGAAAACAAAACGAGAACAGATATATTTAATTATTCTTAGACAATCTATGCATCGTTCTTTAGATTTACTACCGTTTTTGACTAATAATATTTGCCATTAGGAAGGAACGAAGAGAATTTACAAGAGAATGAAGCTCCTATATAAAACGGCAAATAGTTCTAAGAAAATCAATGATGTTGATTTTGTTAACACCTGTGTATATATACATTCACCCCCTCCCCCGTTAATCTCCCTGGCAAGATGAGTTTCAAAATGAAAAATTTTCTTGCAGCTAAAATGATCAAGGATTACCTTTCAGCATCTGACATTTTTAACTGAAGGAGGCTTCGCCTAGAAGAATGGTATCGTTTGCAGGTTTAACGCTTGTATTTCTCGAGTGAGCAACATTCCTTTCTCCCTCGCTTGCGGACTTTTTTTCTATAGAGAGAGAGTTAAGAGGGCGTAGCTTACTTAGCCTTCTCCCCTTTTCCTATTTGAATCTTATTACAATCTTCTTCGAGAGGAGTTTATTTATTTCAATCCTATATCATTTATTGATAAATAGGGTTGATAGCCACCTGACGAGAGAGGTCTTTAAGAATATTGTGGAGAGAGCGGAGTCTCTTGTTTTTCTTCTCACTAATGATCAGCATTTTTTATAATAGGGTATGAATCCTCTAAGCAAATCGCCAATATTGATCAGACCACCTTAAATCGTGTAGTCCTAGATACTACTCTGACTCATTACCTGCCGTCACTCCTGCCTCAATACTCTATTCAAGATCCTCTCACACCCTTAAAGTCAATGCTGGGTTCTTCCTTTTGATGCCGAGTCCACTTGGTTGCATTCACTCAAGCTACTCAATAAGCACCTTCTTGCCCATAGGTGGCTTAGCCTAAAAGCTCATTCTCCCAACAAACCATTGATCATGCACGTTGTATGTTCATGCACTCTTTTTCAATCTATGCACCAATAGCCGCCTCGGGCTTAGAGTTTTCACCTTGCCTCTACTCAAGAACTAAACCAATTCTTGATCAGAATCGACAATATTCAGTGTTTACAAAGGTATTACAGGGTTCATTAAATAGAAGTCCGAGAGAAATAACAGGCCAACTAACCTTCTAGCAACAAAACTACATATAGTTCAACAACGATGCGGCAGAGATAACTAACAACCTGAACAAGGAAGAGGCATTGCATTGCACCATACCGTGGCTCACTCTATAAGTCATAACACCCAAGATGAATCTTGTTTCTCTGGTAGGCTAAGATTTGTTTTAATGTTTGTGTTAAACGTCACTTAATGGTGACTCCTGTGCCATAATACGCTCCATAGGTGACTCAAGGCATGTAGATGATGAACATGCCCGTCCCCACTGAGAATGCATTCTAGGGAAAATCCTTAATTACATCTATAAACATGAAAAGTGGTAAGTGGTAATTTGTGAGATCCCACGTTGGTTGGAGAGAGGGAACGAAGCATTCTTTATAAGAGTGTGGAAACTTCTCCCTAGCAGACACGTTTTAAAAACCTTGAGGGTAAGCCTAAAAAGAAAAGCCCGACGAGGACAATATCTGATGGCGGTGGAGTTACATCAGCACTATGTAGTTATTCATCCCCATAGAAGTCAAGTCGCATGTTTGGCCATATGACTCCAGCTCTTGACTTACTTTCATGTGTCACTAACATGTCTCTAAACTCAAAACTCGATCCATGCTTGATTTTCCACAAATCAAACCCAGCATCTAAAGCTACTATCACTGAAACCCTCAATTAAAAGGGAAATGGTGTATCTTATCAATTCAACTAAATAGGATGATTGATGCACGAGGAACAACGATAAAGCACATTGTGATCTACAGAAGATAAGCCAAACAAAACAATCAGAGACTCACTATTGGTGAAGGCAATTGTTCAATTCTTTAGCTTGATTGCGACACTTGAAAACGACGGATAACGTTCTGCCGTAGGCGCATTCAGCATATTTCGAAGCGTAATGGTCGCATTCCTTCATCGCCTTCTGCTTCATTTTGCTGCGCAAAGCTGGAAATGGAGAAATAACCATCAGCAGCATATTTCGATAAGTTTTCTAGACTCAAAAATTAAATTGACCCATCATTTTCGTCAACAATCAAAAGCAGATTAAGGACAAAAAGGACGATAAGAGCATTTGATAATACCTTCCTCTACTTTCTTCTTCACATGATTCTCTCGAGCTTCCTGAATGTAACCCATTTCAGAGAACAGTAGGAGAACAGGAAGTAGCCGTCGAATGCCCTTGGTTTCGTTGAAAGCAGGACGTTCGAAGCCAACTCCGGCGGTGTCAATTCCACTCCCCAATTTTAACTTCCTTTTTCCATTTAATCCAAACCCTAAATCTTAAATTTTTTATTCATATTCCATTTTTGTTGAAATTACTTGAATTGACTTTTAATAATTGAGCTAAACTAAAATTCTCTATATTTTAATTTATTTAAATAGACATAATACTTTATAATTTCATATAAATATGAATTTATAATAAAGTGACACAAATTTAAGAGTATTAATCAACTTTTAAAAATTTAAAAGTATTTTTTAAATATTTTTAAAAGTTAAAAAAATATTTTTTAAAAAGTTTCATCCAAAAAAGTTATTTTTAGATTGAAAAAATATATTTTTTTTTTGAGAGTTTAAGAATTTTATTAAATTTTTTATTTAATAATATTTTTTTTAGATAAATATTCATTTAGCTTTTCCATTTCATCGTTATCTTTTTTTTTTCGCAAAAGTTTTCATCTTTATTTTATTTGCATTCTTTATTAGAAGAAGCACTGTTATGCTCGGATTTGTTAATAGTTATTAGCTCAAATTGCTAATTTGGGACGCCATTACTCGAGCTCTGTACCTTGCTTTTCAATGGCTGCCAACACTGCCATTGTTGCTTGGTCAGTAATCATGGTTGTTTCTAATTTTGTGCTTTAGCTGTCGACGATTGATAGCAACTGAATCGATTGATCAAATTGTAAACGAATTGGCAGGGGTTCGGGAGAAGATGGCCAATTGGGATTGGGGAACAACGAAGAACGGGAATGGGTTTGCGCTATTAAAGCTCTCGAGTCTCAGAATGTCTGTTCCGTTGTTGCTGGTAGCCGAAATTCGCTCGCCATCTGCGAAGACGGCAAGGTCAGTTACAATTGATTCGAATCGCTCTGTTTAAGCTTCTGGTCTAGTTCGCTTCTCGTATTTCATACTTTTAGTTTAAATTTGTGGGGGATTTGTAGCTGTTTACATGGGGTTGGAATCAGAGAGGAACCCTAGGGCACCCAGCAGAAACCAAAGCTGAGAACGTTCCGAGCCAGGTGAAAGCTCTTGCTAATGTTAAGATTGTACAGGTAATCAATCAATCAAAGTGTGGTGTTCTACATGTAGTTCTTAATTTTCGTGCTGAAAAGCTTCTGTGTACTACTTGATTAGCGTTCTAGAGAAGGTTTCTGATGATGGGTCCTGTTTTTAGGCGGCTATTGGTGGATGGCACTGTCTGGCTGTGGATGATCAAGGCCGAGCTTATGCCTGGGGTACTTAACTTCCTTTACAGTGCAAGTTATCAATGTCTTAAAAACGTCAAAGAGGCATCAAAGCTTTTTTTTATCTTGACGAGGCAGGATTTAAGCCTCAATTGGGAGAGAGAACAAATATTACGCCTTTGTATAGGGTTTTAACATTGCCTGAACTCTGTACTATCTTCATTTGTGCATGACAATATGAGTAACAACTGAGAGGATGGTTATTTGCAGCCGTTGAGGAACTTGTTTGGGGAAAGTTTTCCTAGCGCCTCATATTTGATCAAGTTAGGCAAGTAAGCATGTAAAGTTTGTATGGTGCAGGTGGTAATGAATATGGTCAATGTGGCGAAGAGCCTGAGAAGAAGGATGACACGGGTAGACGTCCGAGAAGAGATATAGCAATTCCTCAACGATGTGCTCCGAAGCTAATAGTTCGTCAGGTAATATATTTGTAAGCGTTTATTTTGGATTATGTGGGCATTGCTTGGGCCGAGTTAAGTGAAGGCTGGCTACCTAATGATTTATACCCCTCACTTTACCCAACTACGTATAGATGCTATGCACAATAGAGTTTGTTCTTACCGTGTTACACATATCACGTACTATGCTATTGTAGCACTTTCAATTAAGCACGTCTACTTGAATTCCTAGAAATGAACCTTTTGGTCCATAATCAAGAAAGCATTTTTTCCCATGTTCGATAATTTATCAGATGAAATGATTCTTAAGTGTGATAGTTATTTGCAACATGATCTTTTTAGTCTTATCTTGAATGAACATTCTAGCCAAATGTTTGTGAGATCTCATGTCGGTTGGAGAAGGGAACGAAGCATTCCTTATAAGGGTATGAAAACTTCTCCCGAACAGATGCGTTTTTAAAACCTTGAGGGGAAACCCGGAAGGAAATGCCTAAAGAGAACAATATCTATTAGTGGTGGGCTTGGGTTGTTACAATGTTATTTAAAGATTTGGTTTGATTCTGGCATGACCCTTTTTAATCTCCTAGGGCTCTGATGGAAGATTGTTTCATGCTTGTCTCAAGTTGGTTGAGAAACATATTCTTTTTTGTCTGTCATAGGTTGCTGCAGGAGGTACACACTCTGTGGTACTTACACGTGAAGGACATCTATGGACATGGGGCCAACCATGGCCACCTGGGGATATGTACGACTCATAAATTCTAATTTTGATTTCACTGAACACTTCCATTTTCTATTACGTTGGTCTCTTTTCATTGTATGCAGTGATGGTAATATATTGAGAGTGTTGTTTGCAGAAAGCAAATTTCTGTTCCTGTTCGAGTTCAAGGTCTCGATATGGTGAGGCTTATTGCAGTCGGGGCATTTCATAATTTAGCTCTCCAAGAAGATGGGACTTTATGGGCATGGGGTAATAATGAATATGGACAGCTTGGAACTGGTGACACACAACCAAGATCACAGCCAATTCCTGTCCAAGGCCTTTCTGGTCTTACTTTGGTTTGTGTTCTATGTTCCTTTTTTTTTGTTGTCTCAAAAAACATATTTTCTATGGATAGCCATGAAAATGATAGCAGCTGATATGGCTCCATTGCTAATTATTTTACCACATCTTAATCCAAAGGTTGACATTGCAGCTGGAGGATGGCATTCAACTGCTTTGACAGATAGCGGAGAGGTGGGTTCTCTCTCTCTCTCTCTCTCTCCATTTTGTACAATTATTGGTGTTTGCTACTGTATTTGCAAAGAAATACCTTCTAAAATTTCATAAAGTAATGGAACTTTATTCATTTTTGGCTTGTCATTGATTCTAGTACAAACTACAAACATGACATAATGTGTCCTTGTCTTGGTTGTGTGTTTTTTTTTTGAGATTTGAGGAGAAACAAAAGTTTTAGTTCATAGTTAAAGTAGCAGTGCTTATGTCTTCAATAAGAGCATGGTTTACAAGCTTCTGATCAAGTTCACTTATGAATTATGGAGTCGGTCTAAGATTGAATGACGCATCCTCCATTGTCTATGTATGAGTAGAAAGAGTAAGCTTACTGCTGTTGCAGGTTTATGGATGGGGACGAGGAGAACATGGGAGACTTGGGTTTGGAGATAATGACAAGAGCAGCAAAATGGTTCCCCAGAAGGTTCAACTTCTGTCTGGAGAGAACATTGTTCAGGTACGAATCGTGCCACTTTTATACTTGTGGCCAACCACTTCTGCCTAAAGCTGAGAAGTGTCTTAAAGGCTGGATGGGTTTAGATTTCTGAAGGAAGTTGTGAGATCCTACATCGGTTGGAGAGGAGAACGAAACATTCCTCATAAAGATGTGGAAACCTCTCTCTTGTAGACACGTTTTAAAACCTTGAGGGAAAGTCTGAAAGGGAAAGTCCAAAGAGGACAATATCTGCTAGCGGTGGGTTTGGGCTGTTACGACGGGCAGGTGTGCCAGCAAGGATGTTGGGCCCCTAGGGGGGTGGATTGTGAGATCCCCACATCGGTTAGAGAGGGAACAAAACATTCCTTATAAGGGTGTGGAAACCTCTCCCTAGCAGACATGTTTTAAAACCTTGAGGGGAAGCCTGAAAGGAAAAACCCAAAGAGGACAATATCTATCAGCAGTGGGTTTGGACGGTTACAAATGATATCAGAGCCAGACACTGGATGATGTACTAGCGAGGATGTTGGGCCCCCAAGGAGGGTTGGATTGTGAGATCCCACATCGGTTGGAGAGGGGAATGAAACATACCTTACAAAGGTGTGGAAACCTCTCCCTAGCATACGCGTTTTAAAACCTTAAGGGGAAGTCCGTAAGGGAAAGTCCAAAGAGGACTATATCTACAAGCAGTGGGCTTGGATTGTTACACCAGTTGTAGTGGATGTATGGGTATAATGTTGTTATGACAGGATATTTAGTTTGATGCATGAATGGGAAAACAAACATTTCCGTTTGATTTCATACATTCGAGTCTTTGACCATCTATAAGGTAATCTTTCTCATACATTCGAGTCTTCGACCATCTATAAGGTAATCTTTCATTGATAAGCTGATATAGTTCTAGTTTGAAAAGGATAACGTTATCTTAGATAAACCCATCGAACAAATAGTTTCTTATTAATTAAAAAGAGAGTATTTTAGATAGTAGTTGAATGCTATGTTTCTATTTTGGCTTGCACTCAGACAACAGAGTTATTACCAAAAGGAAATAACTATCATTGTCTGCAAACACTTGGAATTTAATCTCAGGACCATGCAGAGAATTAGGAATAAGAGTTTGAGCTGCAGTTTTTATTTGACAGAAGTAGAAATCTTTTGAATATGCCACTATCTCATTCGTTGGTACAGGTATCATGTGGAGGCACACACTCAGTTGCAGTAACAAGTGACGGCCGCATGTTTTCGGTTAGTCTTAATCGACAACCTTGTTTGAGACATCATCGTATGATGAAACAGGCTGTGGATTTTTGTTTTTCTAATGTGTTTCATGAAGAATCATTATATTACTGTCTTGACGTTTTCTTGATTCATCAACTTTCAACTTATTTCATGGTGTGGTGATGATTTGGAACGAAAGCTGAGACTCTAGATCATTGCCACACCCATTGGAGGTCCTAATTTTCATTCAAAATTCTTGTTTGTGTATGGCAGTTCGGGCGAGGTGACCATGGGCGGCTTGGATATGGAAGGAAGGTAACAACTGGGCAACCAGAGGAAGTTCCCATTGACATTCCCCCTCGTGGGGCTGAGAATGGTCGTTGGACTGCCAAACTTGTTGCCTGCGGTGGCCGCCATACATTAGCTCTGGTACAATGGAAGCCTGACGATTAAGCAAAATAATTAACTGTTGTTAGATTC